CGAGCTCAGTGAGGCAACCAACTATGTCTTGGTCCTCCCTGCGTCCCCAGCACTACCCCAGCACCTGACACAGGACATGCTCAAAATCATGTTTCTTGACTTTCAATGAATTTACTTCACAGCAGTCAGTTGGTGATTGGGGAGTCACATGCCTGCACCCCAGGCTTCCAATCAATGATGGGCGCTCTATGACCCGCAGTGGAGGAAATGGCAAGAAGAAATGGGACCAGGCTCTCCTTCCGCACCCTTTCCTCTGCTTGCTCCTCAGCAGACCATCTGTCCCTTGTGGGTCCCCATCTATGGCCAGGGCTGGCTCACCAGGGAGAGGCGGTGAGGAGGGGGACTGGCTAGAGACAAAGGTCCAGGGGGGACCTGGCCCATCACTTGAGCTCATTTAATGCCCAGCGCTATTGAAACTCTCTCCTCCCAACCTCATCCTAACTCTGGGCAGAGAGGGCTGGTGAGGTCTGCTCACCATAAGATCTGTGGTTCAAACCCACCAGTCTCTCTGCGGGAGAAAGCTGAGGCTGTCTGCCCCTGTAACACTGCACTGTCTCAGAAACCACACACAGGGCTCTGGGACTCAGAACCAACACAGTAGTGGTGGGTTTGGTTCTGGTTGCCTCAACCAGAAAAGGACAAGGGGCCGAGCCCAGAGGTGGCAGCAGGTACAAGCGGATGGTAGAGCTGGGGCTCCACCAGGCCAGTGGTTCTCCGCCTTCTTAACGCCAAGACCCTTTCATACAGGTCCTCATGTGGTGATGACCCCCATCCATAACATTATTTGTGTTGCTACTTCATAGCTGTCATTTTGCTACTGTTATGAATCATAAGTATCTGATATGCAGGATGTATTTTCATTGTTACAAATTGAGCATCATTAAAGCATAGTGACTCATCACAAAAACAATATGTAATTATATATTGTGAGATATTTATTTCTAATGACAAATTAATGAAACTTTGTCTTGAAGCATGGTGTAGCATGGGTAACTGTCTTCACGCCGGGCACTCGTATGTGGGCGTGTCTGCAGGTGGGTGGAGATGGATAGAGGAGCAGGGTCTCGGTTCCTAAGACCGTCGGAAATAAATGTTTCTTGATGGTCTTCCAATGGTCTTGGGGGACCCCTGTGTAAGGGTCGTTCAACCCCCAAAGGGGTTGCGACCCACAGGTTGAGAACCGCTGCGCGAGGCTCTATGGGAGAGTCAGAGTCCCCAAGAGCGCAGAGAACGGAGCCCCAGACTAGAAAGGCTCAGGCCTTTCAAAGACCCCATTGCCAACGAGCCTGACTCCTGATGAGCCCGGCCCAGTAGGCCGGCGTGACCGCAGGAGCAGCCAAGGCACAGCCAGGAAACAAGCTAGAGGGGAGGAGGCTGGTGGGGCGGAAGGGCCGGGCACTGCGACTTAGAGCTGACTCAGGTGAGTTCCCGTCCACAGACAGGGGCATGAGCGAGGTGGCCTGTCCCACACTGCTGGGCCCAGCCCAGGAGATCCCATCTGGACAGTTGACCTTGTGGGTGTGAGCAGGGCAGGATGGGCTATTGGGCTATCTATGGAGGGAGTGCCTTCCCCTGCGCGTGTGGGCAGAAGTGCCACTGCCAGCACCTGCACTTCTCTTGTTGGCTGACTCAGGTTGCGTTGACAGGCCAGATGTGCTACGGCAAGTCCCAGCCTCCCTCCCCAGCTGATGTGGCGTGGGGTAGCCCCCGCTTCTTCCTTCCATCTCCATACAGGAGTTGGTCATAAGCCTTTTGGCTGAGGGGGTCATTGCTAGCTGCCTTCACCCGCCAACCCTTCCCTTGGCAGGTCAGAGCCTGGGGGTTCAAGAATTGGGGGAGGGCTCACAATAACCCCTTGTCTCAGATGGGAAAACTGAGGTGAATGATCTCACAGCTGAGTTTCAACTAAACAATTTCTCAATGCTAATTCTATCTAGACCCCATGCACAAGACCAGGCTGTAGAGACAGGTGCAAGCATTGGCCTGTCCGGGCCAGCAGCAGCAGACCTGGTCCAGGCAGGCTCTCTGTTCGGTCCTCTCTCATGCTGGGACTTGATAGCATGCTATTAGATCAGCTTTGCTTACAAGTCTCAGAGGAGAGGCTTCTGGGAAGAAAGCAGGCTCTTGGCTCACAGGAAAGGGATACCATGAGGGCTCTACTGGGCTGAGAGCCTTCCCCAAGCACTTCCGGAGTCAGAAGCCAGGCTCCTTCAGTTGGTCTTGGCCTTGTTCCTTCCCAAAGGGTCTGTCTGCACTTGAACGCCCCTGTGGGCTGGAGGTGATGTCATGTGGCCTGGGTCAGTCCCTTGTTGTGTCCAGGCACTGTGCTCATGTTTTGACAAGCAGTATGCCAGGTCTCCTGTGCCCAAAGCCTGCGAGTCAGACCCTGTTTCTACTACTCCTATGGGCAGGTGAGGAGGCTGCTCTAGAGCTGACACCTCGTTTCCGTTGAGCGAGTGTGCTGGGACCTGAGCCCAGGCCCGCTCACCTCCAAAGCCTATGCTTGTCATATTGCGATCCGACCTCACAGGCGGGCCTGCCATGCAAGGGGACATTGGCTGCCAGGAAAATCCTTCCTCCTTCTCCACCCAAGTCACCTGGTGTGGCTGGGTTATTGTTGATGTCAGCTGCTGACCAGTCAACCCCAGACTCATGGTGACTCCATGCACAACAGAGCAAAATGCTGCCTGGCCTTGGGCCCCCCCACCAGGATCAATGGTGGCTTGGCCCACTGTGGGCCACGGGTTTTCAGAAGCAGATCACCAGGCCTTTCTTCTTAGTTTATCTTAGTCTGGAAGCTTCGCTGGAAACTGCCCAGCACCCAGCGACAGGCAAGCTTCCTCTGGCAGACAGGTGGTGGCTATGCAGAAGGGGTGGCATTGGCAGGGAATCGAACTTGGGACCCCTACCTGGAAGGTGAGAATTGTCACTGAACCACCTGCAGTGGAAGGGTTAAACCACCTCGTGGGGCATCTCGGGCTGCAGTACCACTGTCCCGCAAGCCTGACAGGGAGAGCCAACTCCGCATGGACACAGCAAAGCCACCTGCTCCAGACCAAGTGCTGCTGGGACAGTAAAACAGCACCCCTGCCCACTGCAGCAGAGAGGACCCTACCTGCCCACCTGCCTGGCTAAGCCTCCCGGCCCCCCATGTGTGAGCTAAGGCTTGTGGGGCAGGTGCCCAGGAAAGTCGGCTTGTTGGCTTTTATTGCTCAAAGGGTTGACCCTGCCTGCCTGCCTGCCACCTATAAGCCTGGGCAGAAGGGGGCATGTCTGGGAAGTGTCAGTGGGCAAAACCCAGTTCCCAGAGCACACACACGCACGCACACACGCACGCACGCACGCACGCACACACGCATGCACATGCACGCAGCGGTGGCCAGTGGGCCCTCCCTCCTCCTGGTGTGCTTTGTGGCCTCTGGATCAGCAGAGGAGAGTGGCCCACTGGCCCATGCCCGCCCTCCTCCCAGCTGGCAGTGCAGGGAAGACACCTGACCTTGGGGAGGAATGTGGAAAATGTCTGCAGAGCTGCCACCCCCACACCGGCCACCTGGGGCCCAGGAATGTGGCCCCCTGCTGACGCCCGGGGCCCCCAAGGGCGCTGAGCATTCAGGTGGCCAGAAGAGGGAGGGGTCACAGGAGAGGCACTGTCAGAAGGTGCTGTAGAGGTGACCCAGTGAAACTCCAAGACTGTTGAAGAAGAGAAGATGATGAACTGCCAGAGCCATCTCCTCAAGGCGCCCGTATGCCCTGGCATCTCACCCCGGGAAGGCCCACCCCCTGGCTCCTGGGACCCCTCAGGTCAGAGGTCTTGGAACATTTGATTTCTCAGAATCTCAGAATGTCTGGGCCCTTTGACGTTAGCAGCTACAGATGTGGGAACTGAGGCTTAGAGAGGGGCTGGGAGTGGGTCATTGGTGTACCATCAAGGCCCGGGACTCAGGTCTGCAGCCTCTGGACTAAAAAACTCACTGCCATGGAGTTGAGTCCGACTCATAGTGATCCCGTCGGACAGGGCAGACCGATTCCTACAAGTTTCCCAGGCTGTGCATCTCTACGGGGGTAGAAAGCCTCATTTTTCAGCAGCAGAGTGGCTGGTGGTTTCGAATAGCTGACCTTGAAGCAACAAGCCAGACTCATAATGGGCGCTCTTCCTATAAGCCCTCCCAGTCAGGAGACCCCTCAGTTAGCTTCTCCCAAGCTTTCCCAGGGTTCCCAGTGGCTAGAAACCCAGTGGCTCCCGTGAGTGCCCATTGGGCATCTGGTGCCATGGGAGCTACAGCCATGGATTGCAGAACAGAGGGCTGGGATTGTGGACCTCTGTGTGCAAGGCTGGACGCCACCCCCAGCTCCCCACTCTGGCCTCTGCAAAGGGGAGGCCCAGTTCATTACCGCCCCTGACTAGCACCCTTCTTCACTGTGGAGCTCCAGAGAGGCTTTAGCGAAGGGACTCTGCTACCCTCTCGTGGCCACACGGGGGCATTGACTGCTGTCATCCAGGCAGCCAGGGCTGATCTTCCCCTAAGGCTCCTTCCTTTGGAGAAAGGAATTCTCCCCGAGCCCCAGAAGGGTGCAGTGGGGTAGCTGTGGCTCACATTCCCTATCACCGAGTCCCAAATTCTGGCTGCACAATCAAAGGCGGGAAGGGAAAGAGAGATGGTCCCTCTCTCCCCTCTCTCACCTAAATGCTTGGGCTGGGGGTGACCCTTGGTGGTTTCCACGGAGACAAATGTAAATCAATCAACAAGAGACAGAATGGCTTGAAAATTTAGAGGACGTTTATTTCTGGGGTAGGCCCATGAAGGCTGGCAGGCACCGCCCTCCCCTCCTCTGAGAGACCCCTCCTCCTTCCCGGAGGAACCCCGTCGTCTCTCCTCCTTGGGAGGGCCACAGGAAGGCTGGGAGGCGAAGAGAAACCATACACAACACTCCAGAGCCTTAAAAAAATAGAGCAACAAACACCCTTTTGCACACCAACACACACGTACAGATATAAAGAGATGAAAAGAAAACGTAGAAAAGAGGCCTGCTCCTCCCAGCTGGCATTACCCAGATGCCGAATGGCAGGGGGCACAGGGGATCACCCGTGAGCCTGGAAGAAGCCCGGGCTTAGGGGGAAGGGAGGGCAGTGGGGTGCAAAGGAACAAATAAATAAATAAATAAATAGGGCTCAACGAGGCCTTACAGGCAGAGCCTGAGGCTGGGAGTCGGGGACTCTGGAGTCTGGCTCCCTGGAAACGGCAGGTCCAGTGACAGGTAGAGGGAAAGATAGCCCGGGAGACACAAATTCAGAGACCCCCCCAAACTCCGGCCCTGCTCCCTTGACTCCACACCAGGCCTCAGAGCCTGCATCCATTGCCTTCCTGGGGGGTCAGGTCCAGCCTCAGAACGCAGTTCCCCAGCTGGCTGTGGAGGGCAAGGGGTGGGCGGGGCGCCTCCTCGCCGCCTTCAGCCCCGTGCACCATCCCTGGCCCTTCTGTCCGCTGGAGGGCACAGTGCCCCCGGGCCCACCCCAGGAACGGTGAGGCGAGCCCGCTGTTCCTCTCTGTGGCCCTCCGGATCGCCTGGGGAACACAAGTCCTGTGTGACTGTGAAGGATCCACACCAGCCAAGCCCCGCGTCTGTCCCCTGCTCCGCGGGCCGGTGGGCGACCAGTGCCAGTGCCACACCGCAGCTGGATTCTAGGGCACCTTCATGCCGTCATGGAGACGGCGCCAGACAGCAGCAGGGGCAGAGAACAGGCCGCAGCTGCTGGAATGGACAGTTTGGACAGATGAGAGGTCCGAGGGACTCGGAGGTGGCAGGTCCCTCCTGGAGAAGCGTGGCCAGCAGGGCCGGGAGGACAGGGCGGGAGGGAGGCCTGGGGCCGCTCAGCTGGGCAGCAGCACGTGCTCCAGGAGGTAGCTGACAGAGTCCCAGTGCTTCCAGAGGAGGAAGACGACGAGGACCAGGAGGGCGGTGCTGGTGATGCGCAGGCGCGTCTTCATGAGGGGCGTGATGAAGTTGGCGATGGTGGACACGAACACTAGCAGCACGGCCATGAGCGCCAGGATCACGTTGATGAACTTGCCCAGCAGTGCACGCGCATTGGCGTTCTCCACGCCCTCCAGCTGCACCACCTGCTGCTGCTGCTGCTGCAGCTCCAGCTTGGTCACCCGGGTCAGGCAGGACTCCACGGCCTCCTGCAGAGGGCAGAGGGGTTGGCACCGGGGACCCTCCAGGCTGAGCCCTACCAAGCAGATGACAAAATGTGTGTGTGTGTGTGTGTGTGTGTGTGTGTGTGTGTG